GGTCTAAAGAAGAACTTTGCTCTGCTCGAACTCTTGGAGCGCCTCCAGAATGGAGCAAGCAACCAGTCCGGAATGGCCGAGGACGCCCTGAAAGGCATGGGAGAAGTAAGGCGGCCATATTCACAGGCACAGAAAAATCTCTACGCATTTTTAAAAACAGTACAAAATCCACTCCTCTTCTCCCCCCATTCCTCAGTGTATAATCCGTTGCGATGAGGACGAGAGCCACACGGCGTCCATGTACTGCACGGTATGCGCCACGCACCTGTGCGCCGAGTGCTCCCAGCTCACTCACTCCACCCGCACGCTGGCCAAACACCGCCGGGTGCCGCTGGCCGACAAGCCCCACGAGAAGATGCTGTGTCCGCAGCACCAAGTCCACGCCATCGAGTTTGTCTGCCTGGAGGAGGCCTGCCAGTCGGGGCCTCTCATGTGCTGCGTTTGCAAAGAATACGGCAAGCACCAAGGACACAAGGTAGGCCAGGGGTCAGGTTGGGCCCGCAGACATCGATGTTTTTTATTAAGTGAAAGACAAACATGTTGTGAATTTTGATGCTTTTCAAAACTTTTTAACCGTGGTTTGCACACTTCTACTAATGATCTCATTTTTAGCTTAGCGCTTTTGCCAACTCCTAAAAACGTTTCTCTCACTCAGCTTCATTTCAGACAGAATTATCAGAAATGTTTGTCCAAGAGCTACACAAAAACATCAGATTAGTATTTTGAAGTATTTTAAATAAATCAGTAAATGTTTTACTTAACACAAGACTCCACTGGTGAAGAAAAATTATGTCAAAGTCCTTTTAGAAATTGTTCCACAATAGTGGAACAATTTAGCACTTGTGCTAATCCGCTATTAGCAGAGCAATTTTTTTTTGTTTAGCGTTTTGCTAACTTTGAGCTTTTTAGCACACTTAGCTTCCCCTGAATGAATTTTTCTAGATAAACTCTAGAGGGATAATTTACTTGGTTGCTTTGTAAACCTTAAGTTGAATAAAGTTCAACATCTGTGTTGAAGTTTTGGTTATGAACTGTTAGCATTTCATCAAGTAATTAGCCAATTATATCCTTGGGAACGAAAATAACTGATTTTATTGTGTTGAGGGCAACACACTATGCCAGGACATCAAGATGGTAGAAGTTAGCGCTTTAGCATTAGTTTCTGCAAACACCATGTTAATAGAGGTATATACGACTAGGGCCTTAGGGTTAGCAGATCTAAGTCTTTAGTTAGCAGTGCCCTCCACTGCTTTTTAACAGCTTAAAATAAAACAATTATCATGACCAATCAAAATCCAGACCTAAATCCGAACAAGAATCTGTGGCAAAGCTTCAATATTTACATTTACAGCTGCTCCTTGTCTAACTCGTGAAAACGTACCGCTTCATTAAAGATCCCGTCTGAATGCGTTCTGTGCAGCACGCGCTTCTGGAAACGGAAGCCAACCAGATCCGTGCGTCCATCCTGGACATGGCCCACTGCATCCGAACGTTCACAGACGAGGTGTCCGAGTATTCCAGGAAGCTGGTGGGCATCGTGCAGCAGATCGAGGGAGGGGAGCAGATAGTAGAGGACAGCATCGGCATGGCGCACACGGAACACGTAAGGCTTCTAGCTTCCACCTGAATGATGACGCTTTTTCCTGCAAATGTTTGTTTTAAAACATTTTTTACCCCGGAAGGTCCCTGGAACGGCGGAGAGCGCGCGCTCCTGCGTCCGTGCGTACTTCGCCGACCTCCATGAGACGCTGTGCCGTCAGGAGGAGATGGCCCTGAGCGTGGTGGACGCTCATGTCAGGGAGAGGCTCATCTGGCTGAGGCAGCAGCAGGAGGACATGACCATCCTGCTGTCTCAGGTCTCCACCGCCTGCCTGCACTGCGAGAAAACCCTCCAGCAGGTCAGGAGCCTCTTTAAGCAAACACAAACAAACAATCAGACGGATTCACAAACATTCTTGAGTTATCACGTTATTTTCCTCCGCAGGACGACTGCCGAGTGGTGCTGGCGAAGCAGGAGATCAACTGTCTGCTGGAGACTCTTCAGAAGCAGCAGCACCAGTTCACAGAGCTGGCCGATCACGTTCAGCTGGACGCCGGCATCCCCGTCACCTTCACTAAGGTACCCACTGTCTCCACCCACAGACACTTTAAAAAAAAAAAACACCAGACGGCTGAGGGATGTGTTCTCCTTCCAGGACAACAGAGTCCACATCGGTCCAAAGATGGAGATCCGAGTCGTGACTCTGGGACTCGACGGAGCGGGAAAGACCACCATCCTTTTTAAGCTGAAGCAGGATGAGTTCATGCAGCCCATCCCGACCATCGGTAGTGCCTCTTTTTAAAAACGCGCTACACCAGGCTGCAATATCAACAGTTAACATCTAAATCAAAGATGTTTCTCCTTCCTGTTTCTCCCAGGTTTCAACGTGGAGACGGTAGAATATAAAAACTTGAAATTTACAATCTGGGACGTGGGAGGAAAGCATAAACTGAGACCTCTCTGGAAACACTATTATCTGAACACTCAAGGTACGTTCAGGTTCAGGTTGAGTATTTAGAAAGTTTACTTGTAAAAAAAATTACTGTCAAGTGGGAATAGAAAGTAAACCTAAAGAACAGTCAAGCAGGCAAATTGATTTTCTCTTAGCATCTTAACTTGTCATGGTAAGCACTGCCCAGTCTGAGCGCCGCTGGAGGCTTAGGACAAGTTAGAAAATGTGTATGAACCAGCAGACGTCTTCATTCTGTTCTCTGACTTCAGGCGGTTCAGGCTGCCGCTAACTAGCTGCTAATATTTCTAGCTAACGAGCGCATTAGGGTCATTGTAGGTAGAAGTAAAGAGTGCAGTAAATTTCCACTTTTGGAGCTCCAGAACTTTACATGTTTGTTTTTCTTTCTTGAAAATATGTGAAATTATTTGCAAAAGTTTTTCTTACAAATTTATGACTTTTCCAGCCTTTTTATTTTTTGTTAATCAAAAAAAAATAATAATCTACAATGGTCCTAGTGCGCAGTTGTATTTTCCTCTATCTAATTTATCATATTATCGTAGAAATGATCAATATCATAAAAATTAGCGATATATTATCTTATTGTTTATCTAATTTACCATAAAGGTAAATTCATGGCCAGTTTGTTGGACGATGTTCGTCTTCGCTACTAGCTTACTTCTGTTGCCAAACCACAATGTTACGTGCATTTTGTGCAAGAAAAGCTTTGCACTGCTACAATGTTTTCTTTTGTACATTTCTGTCGTGATGCATGGCTTAAGATTTATTCATAATTGTTTTAAAAAGGTTCTTAAAAAACCTTGAATCTGACTTTGTGAAACCCGTGGTTTGTTCTCACAGCGGTGGTGTACGTGATCGACAGCTGCCACCGAGACCGACTGATGGAGGCGCACAGCGAGCTGGCCAAGCTACTGACAGAGAAGGAGCTGCGGGACGCCTTGTTGCTCATCTTCGCAAACAAACAGGTAAACGACCTGTTTGTTATTATTATTATTACTTTTAATTTTATCCCGGCTTGGAACTGAGCCCTTCACTTTTTCGTGCTGCTCTCCTCGCAGGACGTTCCGGGCGCCGTGTCGGTGGAGGAGATGACGGAGCTGCTGAGTCTGCACAAGCTGTGCTGCGGGAGGAGCTGGCACATCCAGGGCTGCGACGCCCGCAGCGGGATGGGCCTCCACGAGGGGCTGGACTGGCTCTCCAGGCAGCTGGTGGCTGCTGGAGTCCTGGATGTAGCTTAAACATCATCATCATTATTAATCTGCCACCGACGCGTCCTGCACTTACTGACTTTACCCCAAACCTCCAGGACGCGGCTGAAAGCCCGGCCCCTCGTTTCATTTTCCTCTTGAGTAAAGATGGAAACGCCTCCCCTGGTTTCATTAAAACCACGGACAGCTTCTAAACTCTCCGAATGAATCCCCAATCATTCGTGGTCATCAACTTTACTTCATTAATTAGCCGGCTTGAACCTATTTACTCTGAAACGCTCCTTGTGCTGCGACAGTCTAGACTCTATTCTTTCCATTCAGAGTCCTTGTTGTGATTTTTTTTTTTTTTTTAGCTTCAGTTCTGTAAGTTTAACTCACTAACCGTTAGCTAGTTCAGGTAAGCGACTACAGTGACCTTGTATTGTAAATCCAGCACATCTTTGCAAATGACGTTAGCAACAGAGGTAGTAACCAGTTATCGCTTCAGTGAGTCCAGTGGCTTCAAGTCGGTGTTCGCGTTGCCTCATCGCCTGCTGTAGTGCAATCGGCTCGTTTCGAGTCGTCTTAAGCTAGTTTCTCAAAGTGTGTGAACCTGTTTGATTTTCCGGACTGGACTTGAAGGGGTCGCACTGCTTGTTTCCGGTTGAATGGATTGCTTTCTGTTACAGAGTAACTGTTTACTGAATTTATTTATAGACAGGAAAGGAGGGAGAGACGTAGAGGAGAGGGGGGCGTTTCTGTGAGCAGAAGATGAAATGCCAGTTTCTTTTTTTCCGTTTTGAAATCCATTTCCGCCATGAATGGGGGAGAAAAATAACAGGAAGTCGTGATTGAGATCCAAAGTCGTAATTTCCACTTTCCAAGTCGTGATCTTGAAATGCAAAATTATAATTTAGACTTTTAAAGTGACACGTAAGAGAGCGAGCGTCGCTTTCCATCTCATAATTCAGAGTTTGAATCTCACCATGACTTTAAAAGTCGACATTGACTTTGAAAGTTTACTTAAGTAAAAAAAAATAAAAAAATTGTGTCCAAAGTTGAAATTGACGTTGGATCTTCGAATCTCATAAATACGACTTCCTGTTGGGCTTTTATTTTCTCTCTCATGGCAGAAACAAACTTCCGTATGTGGAGCCAGATGAGCATTGACCTCGTTAAAGAGAAAAGATAAAAAAATGTGAAACTATCTCCTCACTTTGCGTGTTGATATGGAAGCGCGTAGAAGATGGCGCACCGTTTTAATCCAAGACGTTAAACCGAACACTGACACTTAACGACGAACCATGGTTTGAGTTGGATCTTTTATTCATTGCTATGTAATGTTTAATATTTGTATCTATGTATAAAAAGGAAAAGAAAAAAAAATCACAATGCACGTGTGAAAAAGCCTTTTCATGTAGTTTGTGAGAACTGAGGCGTGGAAGAACAGTACGCAGTGAAACCTTTGTTACAAGTGGACTTGATGACAGCTTTTGTAAATTATAAATAATGTGATGCTGTAAAAAACATATTAAAAATGTTTGACATCATTTGTACGGCTGAAGTTTCCTCCTTTCAACAGTTATCTAACCCAGAACTTGATGGGTAAAAAAAAAAAAAAAGGTACAATTCAAAGTTTTCTTTTAATAAGTCTGTAAAAACGGCCATCACTGTACAGGCAATTGAAAGAGCGAATCATTTGATGGTGATGTTGATGATGCTGATGTCTTCGTAGGGTTTGTCGGTCTTGGGGTTGACTTTAGCGTTGGAGATCCTCTGCACCACCTCCATCCCTTTGATGCACCTTCCAAACACCGTGTGCTTGTTATCGAGCCACGGCTGCAGAAAAGCAAGAGGAAACCAGAAGAGTTGAAGTCAGTCAGCAGAGCTTCTGGATGAGTCGCCAAATTAAATTTAAGACTTTTTAAGACCGCTATGGATGAAATTTAAGACCTGCATCATGACAGAAATGACAAGAAAATTGCATATTGTGCTATGTTTTCTACATCCATAACCCCTGTAGATTCAATGCCGAAACAATCGTCGTTCGGCATCCTGGCGATAAATTTGCACCTGTCCAAGACGATTGCAAAAAAAAAAAAAAAAGCCTAGCCAGGTAGCTAACAAGTGTTTATTAGCTAGTTAGCGGTAGCCTCAACCACATTGAATCACAGATGTCTGTGTGTGACTCACACTGCTGCTCGACAGGAAAGTCCAGTGAGGAGAAAAAGAATTAAAACTAGCTTATAATCAACAGATTGATTACTAAAGTATTTACTTTAAAAAGTGACAAGACAATTGAAGTGCAAAAAGAAAATTATTTTTAATTATATCATTCAACTTTTTAAAAATTTTAACTAAAAAAAAAACACATAGGGCGCCGCTAACACCGCACTTAGCTAGTTTTCTAGTGGAAATCCCACCGTGGATATCTTCATATTTTTCCATTTTTAAATTTTCAATGCGTTGTTGTAACATCTACAGATACATGAATCTGGATCGGAGCCATATTCAGGTAGTCAAACGTCAAAGTTGAGAGTCGCCTGCTTGTTCACAACTTGACAATACTTCAGCAAGTAACAAAAAGAAAATAAACTCGTAAAAGTTGAAATCTTTTTAAAAATGGCAGTAATTCCTGCTTGGTGAGTCGGTTGTGAGGGCGACTTACTGTGGGAACCACGGTGATGAAAAACTGGGAGCCATTGGTGCCGGCACCTGCGTTGGCCATACTGAGCGTGTACGGGCGGTCGTGCCTCAGCGTGGAGTGGAACTCGTCTTCGAACTCGCCTCCCCAGATACTCTCCCCACCCATGCCTGTGCCGGTGGGGTCTCCGGTCTGGATCATGAAGCTCTGTGGAAAACGAGAGGCTTGACTTCGGTTTTTCTTCTTTCAGATTTTTCAATCAAAATCGGCTCATTAAAGCTCGGCAATCTCCCAGAAAACAATTATTGTTCCGCCCACTGGTGACAAAAACCTACCTTAATGACTCTGTGGAAAATGTGATTGTTGTAGTAACCGTTCCTGCTATGAACGCAGAAGTTCTCCACAGTTTTGGGACACCTAAACACACACACACGCACACACAAAGAAAAAGCAAAGATACTTTCTAAATCCTGAAACATAGGAAGCAGCTCCGAACGCCTCGTGCTCAGGAGTTAAACCTACTCCACGGGGAACAGCTTGAGGTGGATGTCGCCCATGGTGGTGTGGATGATGGCGCTGTCCGACACTCTCTTGGGCCCCTCGGCCTGAGTGGCGGCCATCACCTCCTCCTTCGAAGGCTTCTCGTTGAAGATGTCTCTGTCCGAGTCGGCGCTCTTCGTGTCCTCTGGTTCTCTTTTTGTAAACTAACAACAACAAAAATCACAATGAGAGATTAAAACAGAAAAAGGTGAGAAAAGAAGCTGGCCGTTGGAACGAGCCGTCCGGCCGTCTCACCATGTAGAAGCGGTTCTTCTTGAAGGCGGAGCAGAAGATGGTGGGGTCGGGCTCGACGTTCTGCAGGGCGGGGTTGTCGGAGGCCTTCATCTCTATGGTGGGTGCCACCTCCATGGCCTTGGCCACGCCCTGGAACAGGCACAGCTGCACCACCCGGATGTTCTCCTGCTTCCCCAGGATGCGCACACATCTGGGACGAGAGGCCGGACGGCAAGGCAAGGAGTATCAGGAAATAATAATAGTTTAATAATGGAATTATGTGACTAAAACATGTGAGAAGCAAAGTTGTCTGAATGGAAACTAGTGGATTTAATGTAAAACATGTTTGTTTGTTTTTTTTGCAGTTTAAACTGCCCCTTCCTTTAGATAATGTTCTTATTATTTACTGTCAATTAAAAGAAAATAAAAGTTAAAATGAGAAGTTTACGCACACCAAATAAAGAGACAAGCATAGCTGCGTTTCCATTGGCCATAAAGTTCCACAATTTGACATTTGGAAAACAAATGTGATTAATGGACACACATTAGAAAAAAAAAAAAAAAAAAAAACTATTTTGGTGAAAAGTTTTGGCATCAAGTTGAAATCTGAGTTTATCTGATCACATTTGTTTTCACATCCCCCAAGTCACACCATCAACAACCAGATAAAAAAACATAAAAGAAACGAAGGATACGACAGGAAGTGATCAGAGGATCGTGGCGCAGCATGTTTTTGAATGACTTATCACATGATTGATCACATGATGATCACATGATTATTCATCGTGTTTCTTGTTTAATGGAAACGCCGCAACTCCAGTATTGTGTTTCTTCAACATTAGCAGTAGACTGACAAGGTTCTGCGCATTTTCATAATGGAGATGCAGCCACACTCTGAAGTTCAGACCAAACTTCTCTTGTTTTTAGATCAGCCTCTGACAGGTCGTCTCTCATTATTGTGGCAAATCAAAATTATTTTGGTAATTCTAATTGACCCAAGAGAAATAAAAGTGTACGTAAACTTCTGGTTTTAATTGTGAAAGAGACATGTAGATATGTTGAAAAAGATATGATTCTGTTTGCAGTTTCACAGATGGACATGAACTCACTGCTCAGCAATAAAACAATTAAAATCAGGGCAATCATTTGAATTTGGACAAAGAAATCCTCCTCTGTTGAAAAGCTGCCATTTTGAGAAACACTCCAAACATTTGACACCCAGTGTCAGGTAGTCTGCACTACCTGTCTAAGATGGATGATTGTTATTTGTTGGAATATAATCTTGGTTGCCAAGACTTCAAAATCCATTTTAATTATTTTGGTTGTTTTGCTTAATTTGAATATTTGAAATGTTTTTCTTTCCCAGTGGTAAAATTAAAAGTTTTGTTTTATCTTTGAATGGGTTTCATTAAGCTATTACTACTTGATTATGGTCTCAATAACTATATTATCATTTATTGCAATCATTTCTGAGACAATTTATCATCCGGCAAAATGCATTACCCACCGGTTAGTTTCCACGTTGATGACTTTGATGCCCAGCATGGTCCCATAGAGGACGAAGTGGCCCGTCTCGTCGAAGATGATGTTGGTCAGGCGGACGCCGTCCACCTTCTCCAGCTCTCTCTCCACGGCCATCCGCCGGCCGAACTCCATGTCGGGCAGCTGCTGCCGCATCTGCTGCAGCTCTGTGAACATCTGAAGACGAGCAAAACACCAGCATGACGTCACTGCAGGGCGCGGCGGACCCGCGGTCAACTCACCGTCAACGATTCGTCGAACACTCTCATCAGCTTCCCCGTCAGGAAGCGGAAGATCCGGACTTTCCTGTCGGACGCGATGGTGGCCATCTTCTTCCCGTCGGGGGAGAAGGCCAGGCTGATGGGATAGGTTTTGTGCTTGGCGAATTCATACAAGTCCGTGTCCGTTTTGTACTCCCAGCCCACGTGTTTGGGGAATTTGAACTCGTTGCGGAGGCCCGTCCAGTATTCCAGCATTCCCGCTTTGTCGGCCGACACGATGACTCTGAATTTGGGGTTCAGGCGGATCTGGGTGAGCGGCGAGGAGTGCAGCTTGTCGAAGACGTGAAGGGGCTCGTTGCTCCCCCTCCCGTCGTACACGAAGATCTTTCCTGTAGGTTTCTCTGAGCAGGCCACGGTGCAGATGGCGTCGCCCGGGTTGTAGATCCACTCACACTGACCTGGATGAAACCTGCAGGCACAGAGGAAAAACTGTGACACAGTCAAAAGGATCAATATGTTTTAACTTTGTACACATTTTGAGACGCTACAGCCACAAACCTTCCAGTTTACATTTATGCTCTGTTTCATGCTGGTTTATATGACAAAGTACTAAAGCCAAGGTAGGAAAAAAATGAATAGGTTATGAGAACGAAGTCGTAAGAATACGAGAAAAAAAGTCAGAAGGATGTGAGATGTCATAATAATATGAGTGTGGCAAAAAGTTGCACAGTAAAAAGTCATATTATGAAAATAAGGTTGTCAAAAGTCAAGAAAAGGATCTTATTACCATGACAAAAATAATACAAGAATAAAGTTGGAATAATTCGAGAAAAAAGTCAGAATACAAAAATAAAGTCATAGTAATACGAGAATTAAGTCGTAGTGGTGAGAGAACATACAACAAAGTCACGAGAATAAAAATGTAATATTATGAGAAAAGTCATACAACAAAAAGTCGGAATAATACGAGAATAATGTTGTACGACAAAAAGTCATGAGATTAAAGTCATAATAATTCAAGAAAAATGTAATGATACAGGAATGAAGCCATAATAATACGCAAATAAAATGGTATAAAGGTAAAGTGGAAATAATACAAAAATAAACTCATTATCTCAACTAAGTAAATGTAGGCTTGTGGCTGGACCATGAAAGAATGACAAGTTTTCCTTCAACTCTGTGTTAGGTAAATTGTATTATCAACTATTTGTTATACTGTTTTATATGTTCTTAGTTTATGTACTCTTATTTGTTTAGTCATATCTTTTAAGAAATGTTTCTGTGTTGTTAATCATTCTGATTTCCTTTCTCAGAGGGCCTCTCTGAAGAAGAGCAGTGACAGCAGCTCTTCACAGAACGCCCTGCTTTGACCTGTTAGATAGCTATAAAACCATCGCCGATTCACAACTTGTCCTGTTTGATCCTGGGTCAGGAACTAGATAAGCTAGTGTGAGATAGATTGTGTTGTTAGTTAGCTATAATCTTGGCGCTGTGACTGTGTGATGAAGTGTCTTTTCCCCTCCCCTTAGAGTTACAGCGCTCTCTGTGATTAGGGATCCTAAAGACAATAAAAAGAGAGGAGCAGACAAATGTGCTTTCAGAGCGGTAGGAGATTTGTAACTGAAAGCACATCTCTGTCTGTTCTCCTCGCGAGTACTGAGAATCTAACTCTCTCTTGTCTTTCCTGTGTTATTTGCTGTGTTTCATAGGTGTCAACTCTGACACTCTGTAAATGCATGTAAAATTTTTTTATAAAAATAATAAAATCAGTATTTTCTGTGTCTTTGCTGTGCTGGACTCACCCCATCTTCAGCATGTTGATCATGTCGAAGTTGACCACATCGAACACCTTCATGGCCTGATCGTCCCCGACGGAGCAGAACAGAGCTCCTTCTGCGCTCACTGCGATGCTCTCTATCACAGCTGCACACAGAGCAATGACACCGTTCAGAACCGGAGCAGGAGCCGCAGCGGAACGGGATTCAGTTTCAATTCAGTTCATACAGAGATGACTGCGAAAGTGTTTCACAAATTCAATTCCCTCGTCCTCTTTCTTCTTCCAGAATTTCACGTGGCCGTCCTGGCTGGCGGTGATGATGAAGTCTGTCCTGGAACAGAGGCGCACATCACAACACGTTTACACATGTTGACCTTTTCATATCGATTTTTTAAGCCGTCTACCAAATAAATAAGACCACAAAGGTTATTTTTACACAGCCTGTGGCTGTTTTATATGGGTTTTTTTGTGTGTGTTTATTCTCTCACCAACTTAAAGTTTGTGGATTCAATTTGTCTTTACGCTAAAAAACATCCCATTGCAGGTTTCTGACTTGGTCTTTCAAATCAAACAAATGTTAATTATAGACAGAAATAATGTCATTAAATACCAAAAGCAGCGTTCAAATTATGGTTTCATTTCTAAACTATCCTAAAAAGCAACACATCCTGCACAAATCTGAAGACATTCAAGAGCAGATGAGGAACAAAGTAGGGATGCACGATATATTGGTACTAACATTGGTAACGGCTGATATTAGTCATTTTTTGACATATCAGTATTGGTCTGATAAATACAACTGAGTTGATATGAACAACCGATATTTATTTTCATCTTGTTGCCATCTGTATCAGGCCTTTTTTCACCCCACAAAGGTGTCGAAATGGTGGTGATAACTGCCATACAATGTGGCAATAACAATACAGCAAAGAATGATTTGGAGTAAAGTAATTGTTGACGAACATATTTCAAATGAACATTTTGCACACCGATGTAATATTCAGTCATCAACGAGTCTCAAAAGAACCCAGAACAATATCTAAAGACGCACTGCAGGTGTGATTTATCTTAGGTAAGGTCAAAGTCATGATTTAACAAGATGGTTAGCAGTAGTACAGTCTATTTAAAGAGACTCTATGCGTGAGAAAGTCCCAGATCCAAAACAACACAAAGCCAATTCTTACATCCGGACTGCCTTTGATCAGCTTAAGATCAGAATTTAAAATACTTTTGAAGTAGGCGTGATAAAAGCAGTCGCTCTTTACTCAAAGTGTCCGATGAGTCCTACTTCAAGAGTGAACTTTTCTTGTTTCTCGTCACTTACTTTGAACAGACCAGGTGTGTGATGACGTCTCTGTGCATGTAGCTCCGCTCATACATGGCAGATGATGGGAGGTTGTCCAGGTAGACACGCTCAAATTCGAGGACTGATGAAAAACAGCCAGCAAAGGGAGAAATAAACAGAAGGGCTCATTAGAGAAGACATTAGAAGTTGGACATGACCGCCATAATGTTGTTAATTCGCTCCTAAAAACACCACCTTTTCTCTTTTTTGCTTTCGTGGCTTCGCTCGGCATGGGTCCGACCCAGTCCGCATCTTCTCCATCTCCATCCCAATCAGAACCTCTCTCCTTCTCCTGACTATCATCAGCTTTTCGCTTCAACTCCACATTGTTTTCGGTGGCCGCCATTTCTGCGAGCTTCAGACTGGTCCTTCTTTGCTTGCGGTACTTCCGGTCGGCTCGGATTTTCAGTCTATTTCTTTTATAGCTCCAACAATACATTATAGTGCACATATATTTCTTATTTATTTTTCCTAATATTGAATTTAAGCATGCGCTTAAACTGGAATATATTCTAAATACATTTCTACTTTAATTTGTGACTTCCGGAACCAAATATACCCGTTGCTGTTTCTGCGTGCCAATTATCATAGAGCATTCGGATTAAACCAGTGCTCATCCACTGAGGGGTGCTATTGTATGATATTAAATTAAATATTTCTGTATATGCTGGGGTTTCTTGCTCTATATTCATTCAAGTTTACTAAAAAAGTTTAGAAAAATATTCTCAACTTTAATCATAACTAAAAGTCATAAAATTAAAACAAAATAATAATTATGCTTATTGAAACTACCCTTGAACTCGGAAATAGCCTTTAGACTAGCCAACATGGTTGTGGGAAGGAAATCATAATATTTTTCACATTTGCGAAAAGCAATTCTCAATTTAAGGATAATTCACTTTCTTGCTACTATTTTTTATATGAGCAAAGTGTTTAAAGGTGAAGTAACAGGACTCTCCGTATATTACACACACAACAAAACGTATTAGCTCAGCTGCAGAATGAGCAACATTTACATCCAGGAGCCTCCCACGAGTGGAAAGGTGGGCGCTTTTCTTGTTAAACCTGCAAAGTTTATACATTTGTGGGGTTTTGACTAATAACTGTGTCCTTGTCAACGAAAGGAAATATGGGGGAAATGCGGAATGCAGAGTTTCAGGTTAATATGTCTGCCCCTGTGTTGCGTTTAAGGTCCTGTTGAAGACCACAGCTGGGGAGATTGATATCGAGCTGTGGTCCAAAGAGGCTCCTAAAGCATGCAGGAACTTTGTACAGCTGTGCATGGAAGGTAAGAATGTACCTGCAGTCAATGCAGAAAAATCACAAACTTACAGCTGAATGATCCTGTATCTAGAATACGTGACAGAAAATTGTTGAGTTTATGCTGAGAAATAACGCACTAAACTATCTAAATATTAGCTGCCATTTAAATGAATAACTTCGGTACATCACCTTACCATCATCACCAATGTGCTCTAATATTATTTTTTCATATTTATGTGTAGAGAGCAAAATAATATCAGGTTTTATGAAGGGAGTAGCATTTGTTCTTTATTTAGAAATAACTGTCTCTCTTTGCATCCACTTTTACTAGATTTTTTTCAAGGTAAGGTTTTCTTAAATTGAGCACCCTCCGCTTTTACTTTCATCCCCCGTAAAGAAGTCTAAGCAAGCATTAAAACAATTGAAAAATCCAGCTTTTAATTTTATATATTTAATTTAGTGGCAGTCAAATTCTACATAGAAAAAAAAATAGGATTTACATGAAGACATACCCACACATCATTTGCTTTTGCTGCTCCTCTGTAAACTTCTGGAGGAATATTATTAATAATAATAATTGTACATTTTATTTAAATAAGTATCTCAAATGATACAGCACAGTAAAGCAAGATGAGATAATCCTTTAATAGTGCCAAAAGTGTGAGCAAAATGTCATTTCTTGATTATCAGAGCACACAGAAAAAATACTGAAAAACTATAAGTGTGACTATACATACAAATAGACACATATACAAGTGTTACTGGTGCATCTAAAACGAAAAAAAAAAGTAAAATTAAATATACAAAAATATATAGCTATTTTTATACAGCTTTGCATTTTCAGATCTCAGTACATACATTAAATATAAATTTACAAACAGACACATACTTACAATAGTAAAGTAAATAGTAAGTTAAGCCAAATTAAAGCTGTGTTTAACTCAAAGTGCTACTGCATTGTTTTGTAATGCGGTTCTCTCTTATCTAGGTTACTATGATGGGACCATTTTCCACAGAGTGGTTCAAGATTTCATCATCCAGGGGGGGGATCCGACCGGCACAGGAACAGGTGGAGAGTCCATCTACGGGCGCCCATTCAAGGTCGTGATGCTTTTTTTAGAAAAAAAATTCCTTAATGTTTTATAGAAATTTATAAACCAAAGACGTCTGAAAAGGAAATAAACTTCATCCCAAACTTAACTGGCATCAAACTGCTTCTTTCCTCCTGAAACGTTTAGGATGAGTTCCACTCCCGGCTGCGCTTCATTCGGCGGGGCTTGGTCGCCATGGCGAACGCCGGGCAGCATGATAACGGCAGTCAGTTTTTCTTCACGCTGGGGCGCGCGGATGAGCTCAACAACAAGCACACAATATTTGGCAAGGTAACGTTTGAAGGCTTGCATTTCCTCCACCTGGACTCCAGACGGAGATAACGCCGTGGCCCCTGTTTTCCATCCGTCTGCAGGTCACCGGAGACACGATTTACAACCTGCTCCGGTTAGCGGAAGTCGAATGTGACGCAAACGAGCGGCCGCTGAAACCGCACAAGATAAGAACGGCCGAGGTATTTCACTGAAACCAGTGTGTCTTGTTTTCTTTGGGGGTTTTTTGTTTCGTAGGGTTTTAAGGGTTTGTTGCCAATATCTTCCAGGTGTTACACTCTCCTTTTGATGACATCATACCTCGGGAAACCAAGAAATCAAGAAAGGAAAAGGATAAAGAGGAAGTGAAAAAATCCCAGTCCAAAGCCACAAAGTGAGTGTTCAGATTTTCTCTTTCTTTCTCTTTTTGCTGCTGATGAAGGCCCAAAAAGAGAGCAAAAGAGAATCTGTATGAATAATAATCATACAGACATTCATTTTAAAAGAAATATCAGACATTGTACAAAAACCAATCTGAAAAATCAATAATTTTGGACTTTATTTTGATCCATGTGAAATGAGGCATTACTAAACTGTTTGATCTTAATGGGAATACTTGAGTCATAGCTATCTGATCATATTAATTTGATCATTGTGTCTTATTTGTCTTTCTTTCCACACACTGCCATTGTTCTATGGTGTTATTTGGATAATCAGATAAGGATCCACCAATCCACTTTTTTCACTTCCGATTCCGACATCTGTGACTATTACCGATCTAATACAGAAAAACAATGTTGATTGGATTTAAATTGCTTTTTTTTTTAACACAGACATAAATGCACTGAATTACAAATTTATTTAATAACTCTGAATCAGTACAGCTCACTTAAATACACCATTAGCTTCACAATCTTGGTCAAACATGTAAAAACAACTTTAATTTGTTCAGTCAGTACAATTAAGAGCATAACGGCCATAGAAGTAGACTGAATAGATCCTCCCTTTATAGATGAGACACATTTTACGTGGCACTCGATCTAGATTTGTTTTCAATATCATAACCGATTCAGATATCAATATCGGATCGGTGCATCTCTACAATCGGACACCTTAAGTAATATTTATCTCCGTCATGTTATGTTTGTTGTCGACGATTCAGTGAAAAACAAAAAAAAAAAAAACTTTTATTTTTTTGTAGGAATTTCAACCTTTTATCATTTGGAGAAGAAGCTGAGGAGGATGAGGAGATGGTGACTCAAGTTAGCCAGGTACAGATTTATTCCTACCCCCATTTCAGCTCCATCTTCAACTAGACGCCACGTTGTAGATTTTTATGTATTAAAGGGGCAGTATTATGTAAAATTGACTTTTTTGAGCTTTCTTGTCATGCTATAATGTTATTTCCTCATCAAAAATACACCTGGAGTGTTGCCTTGATTATTTCATGCATGTTTGGGAAATCCTTTAATCTCCCGTGGCAACCATTCAGCAGGAGTTTTTAAAGAGACAAAGGCCCAATTTTAAGATGTTATATCACGAAGTCAAATTATTCTTAAGTCATATTTGATATATATTCAGCAATTGTATAACAACTGAAGTTAACATAGTTACTTATTTGTGCTATAAAATGATACTTTGTGCCTGGAAAATACATAATGCTTCCTCTTTAATGGGTGGGAATACTTTGAGAAGACATGTAATTGGGACAATTGATGGATAAACTGCAGCTTGGTGTTTAAATCACTCAGTAGGTGATGTTTTTGTGAAGACCAAATGAGTTTTTCCACTTTTCTCAAACGTTGTTTTATCGCCAGCCTTTATCTTCATCTTTATTATTTTTCCATCAGACGTTGAAGGGAAAAAGCAAAAGCAGCCATGATCTTCTGAAAGACGATCCCAGACTCAGCTCTGTTCCAGCCGTTAAGTACGTCCATGAATCAATCATTACTGAACCTGTTATTTCTCATTTTTAAAATATGCCTGTGTTTATCCTGTTTTTAAAAGAGGAAAGAAGAAAGCCAGACTTGGGAATGCGTCTAATGTAAGTCGGACGGAGCGCTAAACGGATAAAGAAAGACGAGTCGTGTATCTCTGATTGTGTTCACTTATGTTTAAAAAATAATATATATATTACTCTTTTATTCCAGTCAGGCAGCGAGGCAGATGATGGCGATGACGAATCCGACTCGGAAGAAAAGGAGAGGATGAGAGAGCTCATCAGTAAAAAGCTTAAGAAAGAGAAAGGTGCAGAGAAAGCGGCTGAACCTGGCGAGGCGGAGACAGAGAAGAAGACCAGCCGCAGGTCATTTTCATTTTCACAATTTTAAACGCAGCTTTTCCTCATTTCTAATCCAATCTGCTCTTGGATTCGGTTCCTAAGCATTAAAACGGTTAATTCACTTGCAATGTAAGGTGATGACCTGCAGGTGGCGCTGTTGGAGTGCTTCTGAAAACGCTGGCTGGAGCTAAATGTTTGCCACTAAAACCTTTGTTTTATTACCAATGAACACAGATCGTCAGTCCAGGCGAGACCACCAATAGCTTGAGTTATTTTATTCAGATCAGACTACTCAAAATTGTCATCTCAGTTTTCAAACATATTGCTTATCTATGTAACTAAAATAGAAAAAAAGGGAGAAAAAAAACAAAGAGTTGTACTACAATAAGACATCTAAAAATGTCTCATCCTGAGACGATAATAAACTCAACCCCGGGATTGTTTGACAAATTTGATCTAAAAAGGTCTGTAAACTCCCTCAGCGCTACCTTGAAATTTCACAACCACATAAAGGACTTTATGGAAGACTTTGGCAGCTTCTGGGCGAGGCCCTCCTAAAACAATCCTGAAGTCGTATTAAATTTGTCTTATTGTGGCAGGAAATTACTGCAGAACAGCAGTTTTGTTGCGTCTGTCGGTTTCTCCAATGGGTTTGTGGTGGATTTTGTTAAAGCTTTCTTTTTTCTTTCTTTTTTTTGACATGGAAACACTGAACAAAGGGATGTGTCTTTTATACTTTAAAATAGCTGCCATGCA